AGTCTTGGAACTGACCATCATAGAATAGTTCCAGATCAGTTACAGGAGAATAAATAACTCATAATTATATATGAGGAAAGAATCAATTAATCCTGGATTACATGGGATTTACCATCATCATGCCATCAATTACAAATCAACTATGTAACGTACAATAAATGCAATAAATGGTTGTAACGGTCAGAACAGGGCAATCAATTACGAGATTGACTCAACAGGTACAGGATTGACTGAACAGGCATGAGATTGACTCAACAGGCACGTGATTGACTCAACAGGCATGGGATTGACTCAACAGGCACGGGATTGACTCATCAGTTATAGAATTAACTCATCGGTTATGGAATTAACTCATCAGTTACGGAATTCTAGCATTTACACAGATGTTACAAGTCTTCCAAAAGTAACAGATGGATTGAGTAAATGCTCATAATGGACCCATAATTCAAGGAGAATGGTTATTTAGATTTAGCCCTATAAATAGACACACTTTTATCACCACGAGGGAATCTAATTTTCTTATCTACAATTATATACACTATAAATCATAGCATCTTGCTCCCAAGTTAGTCATAGTTCGGCCCTTCAAGCTATGTTCGGCTTAACATCCTATCATTCAATAAGAATTATTTCGTCTCTGTTTTATTTTTATTATATTATCTGTCATTGAATTTATTTTTCACTTCTCTATGACGTTTTATTAATGAAAATTTAAATCTTTCGGATTGAATCGGTTACTCGTGCACTACAACAAAATGTATTTGTAGCTACGAAAGCTAAGCTACAAATCTAAATTTCGTAGCTATTACTTAATAATAGCCACAAAAATTAGAATTTCGTTGCTATTTATAAATTCTTAAAATTTCTTAGCCACAAAACTAAATTTACAAAGCTAATTCATTATTTTTGCTATAATTACTAATTTTCGTGGCAATAACTACCTAAACAGCTACAAACTTATTGCTATAGTAAATTTCATAGCTAATCATAAGTTTTGCCACGATTTAAACGTTACTGTAGCAATAATATACTTTTAGCCACAATAATTTTTTTGAAACAAATTGTTGTAGCTAAATAAATATTTTTGCTTCAAGTTATAAAATATTATGGCAATAGTTGGCTTAATAGCTACGCTTATTTGTCATGACAAAATAATATAGAATGATAAACTTTAATAGCTAATCAATAGTTTTTGTCACATGCTGAAACTTACTGTAGCAAAATAAATTTTTTGTCACAATAAATTATTTAAATTAAAATGTTGTAGTTGAGCAAACAATTTTGCTTCAATTTTTAAATAAATCGTGCCAATAATCGGCTTAATAACTATAATTATTTGTCATAAATGATATAGCCACATATTTATTGTTGTGGTGAAATTTTATAGGTATTCATAAGTTTTTGCAACGACTCTAAGTTTCGTGTAGCCAATAATAACATTTTAGTCACATTAAATCAGTTAAAACACAATCTTGTAGTTAATTGATGTTTTTGCTTCAAGTTAAAAAAAAATGATACAAATAGTTAGCTTAATAGTTCCAATTATTTGTCATGACAAAATAAATAGTAGACAATTACCTTTCATAATTGACCATAACTATATATATTGTCATACATTTGAGGTTATCATTGAAGTAATAATATGTTAACTATAATAAATTAGCTGCAAAACAATTTGTAGAAGAATTCTTTTACTTCGACTATGAAAGTCATGACAAGAGTTAGTCTAAAAATTATATGCGGTTATAAAAAAATAATTTCATATAGAAATTTGGAAAAACAACAATGTATATAACTTGAAGAATTAATTAACTTCTAAATAAGAAAGATTAAAATGAAAAATATCTTCAATCTTAAAATTTAATTTAAATAGAATAAAAATTAAACTAAAAAAAGTATAGTAAAATAGCGACAGGTTTGCGACGAAAAATAAAATTTGTTGCCAGTTTTTGTACTAATATATAGCAGAAGATCTATAAACGAAACTTCTATCGCTAACTTTATTATTCATTTTAATTTTTAGGTTTAATCATTGCAATATCAATCAATTTTTAGATACATTTGTTTTATTTTAAAATTAAACTTACTTCCCCTATATTTTAAAAATCATACACTTACATCTCTATGAGGTAAATGTATAACTACGTTTATTAAAATAAAACTGTTAAATAATAAATTACAATTATAGCATTATTCATATACTTATTTTTATAAAATTTTAAAAAGAGGGTAAACATTTTTGTTGAAAATATTTATTCATGCAGTTGATTAAAAAGGATAATAAATATTTTATGAAATATGCATCTTTCTTAACTCTTAAACATGAAATGAACCCAAAATACTTAATTAGATAACCAGAATTGTTATATATTTGACAAAATAGTTTTATCGTCCAAAAGTCTTTAACTATAATGAAACTATTCTTTTTTTTTTCTTCTAAAAATATGTAAGCCTCTCATATAATGAAAATCATACACAAATAAAATAGCATACAACAAACTTAAGATAATTTTTCAGCGGTTCAATAAATAAACAAACTAAAATAAAATTGAGTTATTCATATGTAATAAGAATTTTATATTTAATTACAAATACAGATAACTTACATGTTTAAAATTTAAGAAAGTTTTCACTAATAGTTGCATATCTTATTAAGCAATTTATATTTAATCAAACGCGTGAATAAAAATTTTCAACAATAATATTTATCTTCTCTATTAAATTTTATAAAAATAATACGTAGAACTTTTTATTTAAAAATTTAATTTTTTTAATAAGTATATTTTAATATACATTTAGTTATGGATATACCTAAGAGGAAGTGTAAACTTAGGATTTTCATAATATAGGGGATATAAGTATTTAATTTTACTATATATAGTTACACTAAGAATTAAGAGTTTCATATAATGTGGTTGACATCCAAGTCCATAGAAAAATTGATTATATTATAATTATTATTAAATAAGTCTTACGTACACTCAAACCTCTCTATAACGACTTCTTTTGTTCCAATATTTTTTTTGTTGCTATAGTGAAACATCGTTATAGAGGATACATATTATAACATAACATAAAAATCGGATATGAGAAAAACTTGACTTTTATAGTGAGTGGTTGTTGTATAAGGATGTTATTATAGAGAAGTCTGACGGTATAAGTTTCAATTATAATTAAAAAAAAATGGAATTATATCCCACAATTATGTGCATGACAAATTATATCAAATTTAAACAACTATAATCTTGTACTAACTACATTGTACAATAAATTATTTATATTACTGAATCAAAGAATTAAGAATTTAATATAATTCGTATACAGAAAGAGGATCTTGTCTTTCAAAAATTTGAGAATTTAATATTGCTTGATAAATGAGTTTATAAATAATTAATTAGTATATAATAATTCATATCAAACTAAGTAGTACTTGTGATTTTCTAATATAATTTTAAAAAATGTAATTATACAGTAACTTTGTGCTTGTAATTATTTACATTGATCACTAATTATATTCAATTTGAATAAGCATAATCTTTTTTATAAATCTAATTAAACACTAAAATACGAATCTAATATAATAAAAATAGGAGTATATAACAAACTACTAACAATATCATATAGGATGAAAGAAACTTTAAAGAAAAACTTAAGTTAGAATATCTTTATTTTATGCAAATAGTTATTTTTCTTTGTTACTTGACATAAATTATATATTTATTCTTTTTGTATTTTCGTAGGTAGTGTTCTTACTTATAATTGTTAGCACTTACATTTCTTTGCATTTACTGAATTAAGATGTATTAATTAAAAAATAAAAGAAAGCAAAATTTATATATTA